TAGCCCACGTGAATTTATTCTGGTTCAGTCTGCAGTACCGCGAGAATCCCCTGAGCACATGAGTTATTCAGCAGAACCCTGAGACTATCAAATGGTGCAAACCAGGTGCATTTATACGGAGACTTGATTACACACAGGTGCATTCTATTTATCATCATCAGTCATTTAGGACAACATTGGATCATTCAAAGATCCTCACTGAACCTCTGGACTGAGTTTGCTGCACTGAAAGTAAAGGAGCCGAATAATATTGCACGTCCCACTTTTCAGTTTTTTATTTGTTAAAAAAGTTAAAATTATCCAATACATTTCGTTCCACTTCACGATTGTGTCCCACTTGTTGTTGATTCATGACAAAAAAATAAAATTTTATATCTTTATGTTTGAAGCCTGAAATGTTGCGAAATGTTGAAAGGTTCAAGGGGGCCGAATACTTTCGCAAGCCACTGTATATTTGGCTAGTAACCCTGTCGCTTTTTCATGGCCTGATTATCAATCTGGCTTTGAACTCTAATTTCCTGATCCCAAAACACAAGGATTTTCTGCACAATGTCAAATACAGTTTCAAAATGTGGTGTTTGGAAATGTGTATAGCCTCCTGATAATGCACAAACTTTGACATGATTAATGCTTCTGCGAACAAACAAAAATGACCGTTGTGCCTTTTACTTTCAATTGATGGTCCAACATAAAGGTGTATTTGTATTTTCCTGCTCTCATGTGTATTGGAAATGATGGATTGTTAAGATAAACCGGTGAATAGACAGATCAGTTAAGATTGGATACTGGATCAACTTATAACTAGAACCATTAAAAGTTGTAACATCTTTAAATTCCTGGTCAGGATCCAGTATTGGTTCATCTCTACTTTTTGTTATTTTTACCGCTCAAGAAATCTGCCAACACCTATCTTTATAGTTAGCTTTTGATTTTGATTTTGATTTCTCCTTTTTATAAAACGTCTTTTGAGTGTCCAAAAAAGCTCATATAAGTACAATGTATTATTATTTTGGAGGAAGTGTGTGTGTTTGTGTGGGTTTGTGTGTGTGTTTATATAGTGAAATCTGGGCATCTCTGTTTAGATTGCTGTCCCTGCGACATGGCAACCAATGAAGCGGAATGAAATGAACTGACGGTGACTTTCGGCTTTAAAACAACCACTCGGTCACCTGTGCTATGCTCCCCCCCCTCCCCCCACCCGCCTGGCTGGTATCCCACTGGGAGACAGCGATGATGTTCCGCACGACCTACGTTATGCAATCGCTCAGGTTTTGCTTCGCATTGGGGCATAGGGAATCCCTGTCATGGCAACCGCTTTAATAATCCAACAAAACATCTGCTTTCTACATAATATATCTTTAGAGTACCTGACTGTTTGTGGCTGTATTGATTCTGTGATGTGTTCAGGGGGCACAGAAACAAAGAGGAGAATGCACAGTTTCTTGTATCTTTCTCATCGGCTGTCTGTGTGTCACGGTGTCTCTGGTTGAATGCTGGGTGTGCGTAGGTGGTTCCAGGCTTTTGCTATTTTATTCCTTTCTCTGTCTAATTGGCACATTATGGCTGAGCGGGGAGCTGCAGTTCACTTTGAAGACAACCCAGTGACTTTTTCCTTTTTAAAACAGACAGACAGGCTCACTGAAAGGATACTGTAGGGCACAACTTCAGACACTGCAATGAACATTGACTGGAAGATGGCCTACAGGTGCTGTCTTGATTGATTTTAAAGCGGAGCTGGTCTCAAATACAAGGATTGATAAAAACAACACTTTCATTGAGATAAAAATACCTTGAACTTCAAACTTTATTTTACAAATACATTTTATATTCCAATAAACGTGTGTGTATTAATAATAATAATAATACATTTTATTTGTGGGCGCCTTTCAAAATTCCCAAGGTCACCTTACAGGCAGCATAAAAACAATATACAACACACATTAAAATACAAAAGATACAATACAATACGAGGCCCAGAAGTAAAATACAGTAGAGTGGCAAAGAGATAAGAGAAGTACGGAGGATTATGTGGGATAGGTGCGTCTGAATAGCTCAGTTTTGAGTCGAGATTTAAATGTGGTGATGGAGTCTATTGCACGAGTGTCTTGTGAGAGATTATTCCAGAGTTTGGGGGCAGAGCGGCTGAAGGCTCTGAGGCCCATGGTGGACATTTTGGCTGGAGGGACAGAGAGTAGAGAGGCAGAGGAGGAGCGGAGTGGGCGGGAGGGTGTGTACGTCTGAAGGAGATCAGACAAGTATGGAGGTGCGAGGTTATGAAGTGCTTTGAAGGTGAGAAGAAGAATTTTGTATTCAATACGGGAGAGAATAGGTAACCAATGAAGCTGTTTGAGAATAGGAGTGATGTGCTGGGCAGAAGGAGTTTTGGTGATGATGCGTGCTGCTGTGTTCTGGACCATTTGAAGTTTATGGAGGGATTTGTTTGGTAAACCATAAAGGAGTGAGTTGCAATAATCAAGACGGGATGTGACCAGGGCATGAACCAGTGTAGCTGTGCTGTTAGGGGTGAGAGACGGACGTAGACGGTTGATGTTGCGGAGATGGAAGTAGGCGGACCGGGTGATGTTGTTTATGTGTGCTGTGAAGGAAAGGGTGCTGTCGAGGATGACACCCAGACTCTTAACCTGAGGGGAAGGGGGGATGGTGCAGTTATCAACAGTGATGGAAAGATTATTGGATTTAGTGAGTGTATGTTTGGATCCCACAAGGAGGAATTCTGTTTTATTACAGTTGAGTTTGAGGAAATTGTGGGAAAACCAGATTTTAATGTCATTAAGACAATCAGAGAGGGCTGAAGGGGGGAGAGTGATCGTGGGCTTGGAGGAGAGGTAGAGCTGGGTGTCATCCGCGTAACAGTGGAAGTTAATGTTGTATTTTCTGAATATATTGCCGAGAGGGAGGAGGTAGATAATAAAAAGCAATGGCCCCAGGACAGAGCCCTGGGGCACACCGCCCGTGACAGTGGAGAGTTTCGATTTATGATTTTGGAGTTGGACAAATTGAGAACGGTCAGAAAGGTATGAGGTGAACCATGAGTGTACTGTATTGCATAAGCCAATGGAGGTGAGCCGGTTGAGGAGGATTGGATGTGAGATTGTGTCAAAAGCAGCTGTGAGATCCAGGAGAATGAGTATGGTGAGGAGTCCAGAGTCTGCTGCTAAAAGAAGGTCATTTGTTATTTTGATGAGTGCTGTTTCAGTGCTATGGGATGAACGAAATCCGGATTGGAATTTTTCATAAAGATTATTGTTTGCGAGATGATTTTGGATCTGTGAGGCAACTGACTTTTCCAAAATCTTGCTAATGAACGGGAGGTTGGATATTGGTCTAAAATTGTTGAAATCGGTCTGATCTGAGCCAGCTTTTTTGGGAATTGGCGTTATAACTGCTGTTTTGAGAATAGGTGGAACAGAACCAGTGGTGAGGGATGCATAAATTATGTTGGTAATGAGGGGAGAGAGCGATGGAAGACAGGATTTCACAAGATTAGTTGGCAGGGGATCAAGTATGCAGGTAGAAGATTTCGATTTGGATATCAGAGAGTGTATTTCCGGCACAGTTGGAAGTTGGAACGTGGAGAGAGTTGAGGGATTGGTCAGGAATAGGGATGAGCAGTGAGTGCAAACGGATGGATCACATGAAGAGAGTTGTTGATGGATATTAATTATTTTAGAATTGAAAAAGTCCAAGAATTTATTGCAAAGAGCGGGTGAGTGTGTGGTGGCAGTGGATGCGTCAGGTGGATGTAGAATGTTGCGCATAGAAGAGAAGAGTGCTCTGGAGTTGCCTGAATTGGTATTTATAATTGATGCAAGGTAGTTAGACTTAGTATTGGCAATAGTGTTCTTGTAAGTGATTAGATGGGAGTGATACATTTCCTTATGTATTGACAGTCCAGTTTTACGATATAGACGCTCAAGACGGCGACCAATAGATTTCAGTTCATGCAGCTCTTGAGTAAACCATGGCGAAGAGAGGGAGAAGGATACAGTTCTTGTTTTTAATGGTGCTAAGGAGTCCAGAATTTGATGGAGTTCATTATTATAAAATGAAGTGAGTTCCTGTGGAGTGACCATGTTATCTCGGCTTGGGAGATTATTTAGTTCTGTGGTAAGTGATGAGAGATTAATGTTTTTTATATTTCTGAATGTGATCTGACGGGTAGAAGATGTTTTGAACAGTGGCAGGTTGAGACCAAATGAAATAAGCTTGTGGTCAGAGACCAGAATGTCCAGAAAAGAGATGTTAATGGGGGAGATGCCAGTGCAGCAAATCAGATCCAGAATATGGCCTTTTACATGTGTGGGAGAGTTTACGTGTTGAGATAATGAAAAACTTTCTAGACAGGAAGAAAAATCTTTGGTAGTTGTATTGTTTACATTGTCCATATGAATATTGAAGTCACCAACCAAAATTACATTTGAGGACAGAGAGCAGACTGTGGCTAAAAAATCTGTAAAATCAGTTAAAAACTCGGGATTAGGCTTGGGGGGACGATAGACAGCAGCTAGGATTGTGGGAATGCGGCCTTTGATCTGTATGACAAGTGATTCAAATGAGCTATAGACCGGTGTAGTGACTGCAGTTGCTCTGTACCTCTCGTTGTACACTATCGCGAGACCACCGCCGCGTCCAGAGGCACGGGCTTGACAGACGTAAACAAACCCATGTGGTGTTGTAGCGTTGAGCTCAGCGTACTCGTTAGGACGTTGCCATGTCTCAGACAGACAAAGAAAATCAAGTTTGTGGTCCGTGAGGAGATCGCGAACAAGATAGCCCTTGTTACTGAGAGACCTGATGTTCAACTGTCCCACGGAGACGAGGTGGTCACCGGCTCTATCGCTCCCTTCCTTTGCTAGCCGGGCTAGCAGGCTGTGATCCACAGTCCGCCTGCCAGGCTTCCTCGCCGGACGGCGAAAGGAAGACCACGTAGAAGGTATCGGGTTCGTCGTGTCAATGCAGTTGATTCTTCTGGATCCCCGATGGACGTATTTTCGCCGCGGAGGCCAGGCGATGTCCAGATGCTGGAGTATTGCAGGGGGCGGCGCATGGTAACGGGGGAGACGAAGCTGAAGAAGTTCTGCTGCACAGTACCGCAAGGACAGGTACGCAGGCTGGATTATGGAGAGCAGAACCAAGCCTCCGAGGAGAGCCCAGAGGATAGCAGCATTCCAGTTCATGATGCCCCACAGCAACAGGGTGACCGGGAAGCTAGCAGTTAGCCCAGGTAGCCAACAGATGACCAGTGACAGGTAAGGAGATCGCCGACCATAAATGAAAGAATATCAGGCGTAAACTTGTCCAGATGCTGTAGTTGTTATATGTCAGTTTTACGAGTTGAAAACACAACAAGCCGGAATAAATAAATCACAGTTTGTGGGGGAGGGAGCAGCGGCAACAATCATGCCAGCGTTCACTTCCACTCCCCGGCCACTATTCTAAGCAATAGTGTGTTTCTTCTTCTTTCTTTCACATTAGGGTTTTTTCCAAAGTTCATGAAGTCGGAGAGGTGTGAATGCGGCAGAGGCTAATGGACTATAATGATCTAGCATCACGTCAATGTTACATGAAAAGCCACTTGACCAGAACCTCAGCCACAAAGTGATGTCCGCCACAGCTAAAGACGTCAGTGGGGGTTTAGAAAATAGTTATTTGAGAACGTGGAAGTTAAACAGTGTGTGTGTGTCTGTGTGTGTGTTTGAGGATGTGTGTAATTGTATTGTATGTATATGTGCATGTAATAAATATTGATCGATAGATAATTTATTGATCCCCGTAGGAGAAATTCATGTGACCATTAGCAGCAAAAATAAAAAATATAATGGATCATTCTAAAAATCTAACAACAGTAATAATCAGCAACAGCCCTGCAGGTCACAGCCGCAGAGGTATAGTCGCTTGGTTTGGACCATTTTCTCTTCTCCAGTCCAAAGTAAAATGCTAAATGCTTCCTTAGCATTTTTCAAAAAGTTATTATTCCTCCAGTGGATCTTTGGCTGATCTGTCTGGGCCGGACCATGAGTCCTCTCCGCTCCGGTCCGGACCAGTGCAAAACCATGAACGTATGAATGTGACAAGCTGGGGCACACAGTTTCATCACTAATTACTCACATGCATGTATTTTTGGCCTCTGTCACATTTTTAGACAGAATAGTGAAGAGATGACCACCCTCACTCAGCTAGCCTGGTCATACCACACCATAGTACAAATTACATTTCATACTAAGGTCTGGAGGTGCTCCATTGAGCTCCGTTTACAGGTGGAAGGGGTTAACTCCTTTTGCAGCATTTAGCATTTAGCCTAGCCATCTCCTTTGCCGCTAACGGAGCCCGTGGGGAGTAGCGCCACAATTTTTTCCAGCAATGACATTTGCTAAACATTACCCTTGCTCCGGCTTCATATTCTTGATCGAACAAGACTGGATTACTTTACTATCGCATTTTTCGGCATTGCCAAACTACAACCTGCCCGTTCAACGCAAACTCTTGACATCACCCACAACTCTACAACACCCACCTCCCACACTCGCTGATTTGTCGGTCAAAATTCAACCCAAATGTTACATGCAGTGAAATGATGATTGAGCGGAGTGTACGGATGGCTATGGCCAGGCTATCACTCAGCCAATCAGCTCTCAAATAGTGGCTCAAAGGGCTATTTTTTTCTAATAAGATGAAGATAGCATTGAGTGATTTGTTCAAACAGCTTTAAAAGACACTCCAATTCCTATGGTGTGGTCAGAAAGCCTATATCAGCAGCTTGTGTCTGGGCCTTGCTCTGTTTACTGTGTTGGAGTGGTTGCCATGGCAGCACTGCTGTTTGTGTACCTGCCCCGGTGCCCTGGCCTGATCCTTCCATGAGCTGCGGTCTTTTTCCAATCTCACATTTTTGCACATGCTGCATCGCTATGTCCAGTCTTTATCATCTCTGAAAGTGAAAAAGAAAGATTAAGAGATGGAGTGGTAGCCCAGACTTATTCAATATGGGTAAAACATTGCAACAGTCGTCACAAGATTTTTGGTTTTGCTTTGTTTTGAAAAAGCTTCAGCTATTTTCAAAGGACCAGTTCCATCTAGTTTGCATTATTTGTTCTCCAGGATCTTGTGTTGATGATGGAAGAAAGTGACCAGGTTTTCTATTGGCCAGAAAGTGCAGTATTTGTGTATATGTCTTCCCATATGCAGTAAATGGTCATTATTCAGAAACCCATTGACCTCCCCAGAGTATCAACAGTTATATTATTAGCAAGATGAATTGACATTAAGATTATTATATGGAAAGCCTGAAGCTAAGTAGGGCAAGGTATGGTTAGTACAGTGATGGGAGACCTCTGGGAATGCTATGTGCCACAGTGGGGCGGCTGCAACCAAACTGTTGTTGTGTCATTAGGCAAGACACTTCGCCCACATTGCCTAGAATGAGTCCGTGTGTGTGTGTGTGTGTGTGAAGGATTGTTGGTGGTCAGACTCACCACCCCAGGGAAGAATGAATAATGATCTTTGAGTGTCCAAAAAGCAGTACATATAAAAATTTGCATTATTATTATTATTAGGGTAAGAGAATCCAATAGCCTGCTGTGTGATTTTATGTATTACTCTCTAGTTGCTGTGCCATATAGATATTGATTTAAAATTGTGAAGCCTGCGATGTTGATGCACCTATCTATAATACCTGAATATATGTGAAGAGACTATTCTTGAAAAGGTCAGATTGTTTTTTACAAAATAAAAAAATAAATGGTCTCGCCATTTGACAAGCATCATCGTCTTGCTATTTGTCTCGCAGTTGATTAAAGCTGTCTTAATCCTGTACACAACCGAGACAAGGCAATTAACTTAAGGGCCTTTGTGAGACTAGAAGCCACAGTCGCCAACAATCCCTCAAAAAATTACTCTTCTTCTTTACAAGAGGTGTGTTTTCTATGGTCCCACAAGACTTAATTAACACTCAATTATATTTGCATTCAGTCTGGACCTTGCGTTTTGCCTTTCTCAGCCGGGAAATGTCAACGAGCCAGTGCGGAAAACACATAATTCAAAGGGCTGCGGTAAGCTTGTATGCAGATGGTGCTGTTTGCATGGTAAACAAATGAGGACAGCCAAAGTATGAGAGCTTCAGAGACGCACAGAGTGAATGATTGACAAAAATCCATTCAAAACTGAAGGTAACACTGCTTGTATGACAAAGAGACAGTGTGTTTGTTGTTGTGTGTGTGTGGTGTTGACAGTCCTTGCGTCACAGTGAAACCTAAGGGTATGTGGCCCGGCTGGATGCACTTAGCTTGAAGTGCAATTTGTGAAGAAATGATGGAGAAATAATGAATGTACCAGTAGTTTTGTATTTTAAGGGAGGTAAAGTAACATCACAAACAAAAATTCCTGAAAAAAAAAAATAAGATTCTATTATTCTAGATCTATCTTTCTATTTTCTACTTTTTGTGATCAATTACAACAAGGGAGTAAAGTTATATGATAGAAATATGGTCAAACTGATTTTTTTTTAATCTATCATCACCTTGACTGTGTTTTCCCCATTGCTTTACTTTGAATATGCTATTTTGCACAAAGACTTTGGGGATATCCGCTACCTGTACAACAAGGCGGTGTCTGACAAAGCCAACCAAGGCAAAGAGCTCGTCTCTGCAAAGCGTCTTATTGCAAGAGCATCCAAGACCAGGCCAAAGCCATACAGGAGCTGCAGCTGAGCTCTGCCAGAGAGAAACACGTCTCCAGGTACTTCATTCTTGCTTCTTCATTATGCTTAAGTTGGAGATTTTATATTTCTTTCCTTATTATGCTAGAGAATCTATACTTTCTCCTTTATGCTTACAGTAAGTTACAGATTTCATCCTTAGTATAGAGTAATTGTTTGTTTATCTTTTGCTGTGCGCTCGTCATTCCTACTGTTCTCTAACCCATGATACAACACTGAAATGTCTCCACTGTGGGATGAATAAAGGTTGTCTTAATCTAAATCCAGGGCCATGGACACAGAGGGACTCTTTCAGCAGGACGTGTCCAGCCAAACATCTCCTGAGGACTTTGTCTCAGAGCTGCAGCAGCTGAAGAAGCAGCTCAGAGCCACAGAACTAAAGTTACAGCAGGAGGCCAAAGACTTTGGAGAGATGCGGATCCTCTTCAACTCTGCTGTGTCTGACAAGGTCACTCTGAGGCAGGAGCTCACCTCTGCTGAGAAGACCATTGTAAAACAGAAGAAGAGACTGGAGGAGCAGGACGCTGTGATATGTGATCTGCAGCTGAAGACGAGTGACCACAACTGTGGACGAGCCTGCAGCAGGAGCCGCTCTAAAGCAGCTTCCATCCAGACAACAGCCCAAGAGAAGGAGCTCAACGAGATGATTTCACAGGAGGAGGTCTTCTGCCTCATCATAAAGAAAGAGCGCATTCTGAAAGCTCTGGGGAGGTCTGAGGAGCAGCATGGACACAGGCCACAGAGACCAGCAGGAGTAGGGGACCAGAGGGGAGCGTCCAGGCGCTGTCAACACTAACCTCCTACAACCTGCTCCAGACATTGCAAAATATAAACATGTTCACTAAAGATTATTGTTGTCTTTGAGATTCTATTGAAAGTAATATATATGTGAGATTTACCTTGATACACGTTTGCCTGTTAAAGGCATCATGGAAATGTTTTTACAGACGTTTGCACAAACATCTGCAATAGTGTTTTTGATGGACTTTTTGGTAATTTTTTTCTTGTAAAATTACCAGGAACAAGCAGCAGGAAACTCTTAGGTGGATTTATGTCATATTTATTTATTTATCTAAACAAAGCTGACTGGCATTCATGTGTTCATAATTTTTATGTGTTTTCTCCGTCAACTCTTAGTAGCAATGGATCACACTCTTATTGTTAAAACATGTAGATTTCCAGTGTTTTACTCAAATCCTGAGTTTTAAAAACCAACTGCTGAGGAATGGTGCAAATTTGACAAACTGTAACTCTTTGACAAATGAACTAGTCTTCTGAACCCGGCTCAGCACTTTTAGAAACCCTTACACTTTTTATTATTGTCAATAAAGGGACATTAAAGACAGTATTGTATAGCATAGGAGACATTGATGACCTGCATAATCTTTATGTGGCTTTATTCACCAGTTTGGCAGTGCTCCAGCTGTGCTCTCAGAATCCAGAATTCATTAAAAGTGTTTTGTTGCTGGTAAAATTGCAAAGACAATTTTTCCTCTTCACTTTTCCCCCAAAGACGGGCTCTTAGCCAAACCCGTGTCGAGACTGATTCATAAATTAACAGTTTGATGAATTTAACTACTGAAGGCGGCGCTAGTAAACCCATGCTCCCAAAACGTTGTGAGAATATTACTCAAGTGGATTGGGGATAATTGGTTTGGTTGGCACCGAGAAATTTACAGGAAAAATGAATGTTCAGTCATTATCTCAAACTCAGGAATCATAAGATACTGTTGTTGTTGTTGTTGTTGTTGTTGTTGCTGTTGCTGCTGCTGCTGCTGCTGTCCTGGGGTAGACCGCTGGATGTCAAGCTATCTGTCACGTGGGTAAAATGAAATGAGCCCAAAGTGCAGAGCTACAATAATAATGGCTTTAATAAAAAGTTAAAGGTTTAAAATAAGGCCGCACATCCCAGTAGCCTGAACTTGCGTGCCACATTCAAAAGAAGTTGCACGATATGTAAAATAATGAAAAATCTGAACAGCTACGCTCACAAGTGTCTTTTATTTACAGACCACTTAAAGCTGCACTAACTGATTTGGAGACATTTTCAAATGCGAGCGATGGGCTCGCTCTCTCTGCTCGCCCTCCCCGCACCCACGGAGCTTTCGCCCCCTCACTACCCCCCCTCCCCCGCAGCCTCTGCTCTGTGCTGTTGTTAGCTTCGGAGCTAGCCTCTCACAATATGAAACAATATGGCACTTTTGCACGTGGATGGCGTGGATGGCGTGTCCATAGAATGACAGAACCGGGAAGCGCGGAGAGGACGAGACTTTCTTTTGGATGGATGTTTTGCTGTTTAAGCAGTAACGAAGACACAGGAAGTTTCAGGCTAGCCTCTGCCGCTTGTTGGCTCAGCTGTCTGTGTTAACCAAGCCCCGGCGATCCAAGATGGCGCCCTATTCAAATGAATGGTTGTGCTTGGTGGCGCTTTGTGACGGCATGGGGGCTGAAAGATTAGCGGAAGTCGCCTGGAACTCGCAAAGATCTATGGGAAACTCGCCTGTATTTGGGCATCGTCTGGTCCTCCCGGTTCTGCGCAGTGGATGATCTCCCATAATGCGTTGCGCCAAATACACGTGTGTGGGTCTCACACCAGGTCTCACGCACGTGCACAGAGGGGCTCGGCCGCGCTCTGACCAATCAGAGCAGTTCATCAGAGCGGGAGTTAGAGCGAGAGCCAGACGGGCAGAGTTTGTGGCACTAAAGTGTGGATTTAAAGAAAACCGAAGGATTTAAGAAGAAAAAAAGTTCAGGATGACAAGGGACACTAAAATCCCCACAAAGTCCGACCTTCATTAAAGCTGTAGGTTCTCTGTCAGCTGAGGTCGAGCTGTTTTAATATGCATTGAGCTCGATGGGGAAAATGTCTGGGTAGCCCACGTGAATTTATTCTGGTTCAGTCTGCAGTACCGCGAGAATCCCCTGAGCACATGAGTTATTCAGCTCCAAGCTAGTAATACCCTATCCAGTTAATATAATACATCCATGGTGCAAACCAGAGACCTGTGGCTTTTCTCAAGAAAGCCGGGGCCAGTGGTCCGCTGTGATTGGTCACAATCTGAGACCCAAAACACTTTCTCTTCCTTGTTTCATGAAAACTTGATCTAAAATATAATATCACGCCAGCACAAACCTGCGCTACTTTTTCTTCAAAAGGACGTATATCCCAATGCACTACATGGATATGGATTGCATTTTTGTAATGAATACGAAAATAAAGTCAGTCAGTGCAGCTTTAAAGCTAGCTTCTTTTTTTTTTACACGTTATTTGTGCTAACAGAATGCGACCACAACACACCACGTTCATCTTAATCGAAAATGATAGTGAATGACAGTGGTCCTATCTTTAAAAAAAATTATGAAAGCTGAAAACAATGTGAAAACTAGGGATACATTTTGAGAGTGAGGGACTAGTGAGATTATTTGGATTAAATTCATATAAAAAAACTCTATATTTATAATATTGTTCAAAAGTTGGTTTACTAATGCAACTTACGACGTGAAACTGACATTACAACATTACAAGAGTTTATTTGTTTTGTCGCTCACAGCTGCAGAACCACCCAAAGAAAACATCTAAAAGGCTTGGATGTCACGTAGCAGGGTTTTACCAATAATGTAGTTTGTGGTTTGAAAATTATATTGTTATTTTGCCGTGCGTTTAGCTTACAATTCAGCAGCTCAGCGTTTAGCTTTAATGGACTCTATGTTGGAGAGAACAGATAAATTGGTTGAGAGGAGTGCGTCCCTATAATCGCTGCTCTGGGACCTGCTTCTTTCATTTTGGGCTTGTCCTGTTTATAGTTTTCACTGGCTACAACCTCCTATCAGGTAATATCTGGTTTGAGGGATTAGCAGGAATCAGAGGGCTTTGGTCTGTTTTGTGGAGGGATAATTCTCAAACATTTGCAGACTAATATGGAAATGGCTTTGCTTTTTTTTCTGTGGAGGTTTTCTTCAGGATATAATAACATGAAAGTTGAAATAAAGTAATTGGAAATATATGCAACACAAGTCATTCAAGCTTCAGACAGGGTTCCTACCTCGGAGATAAGTTGTCATTTTCATTCATTTATTTCATGTATTCATTTATTTCAGGCAATGGCACATGTAAGTACGCAAGGTAATTAAATGCAGTTAAATAATATGAATCATATAATGCAAAAAACAGACAAAAACACACAATACACAAAAAGATAAAACAATAACAATAATATAAACAATAACAATTTCACCAAGGTCTCCGTACTTTTGTTTAGGGAAATTTTTCTCGTTTGACCATTTTTCCACTGTATTGTTTTTTTTATATTATGAGTTGTGTCTGATAGATTTTTCTGGAGTTCAGAATGACTAAAAGTAATAAAGCCTTTTAAGTAATATAGACCAATTGTTATGATTGTTATGATGGGGGCAACAGTAGCTCAGTTGGTAGAGCATTGGCCTTAAGGCCAGAAGGTTGTGGGTTCAATTCCCACCTCTGCACCTTCTCCACCAACTCCCACTGATGACTGCTGTCGTTGTGTCCTTGGGCAAGACACTTAACCCCACTTTGCCCAAAGCCCCCACTGAAAGATCAAGGCTGAAAGATCAAGGCTATGCTCACACTCAGAGAGCAGCCGTCCTCCTGTGGACTCACCACCTGCAGAGGGTCAGTGAGGGGCTGGTGCTATGAGACTTGGGTGGCATCTCTGACTGCCAACCCCCTGACCCAGAAATGGATTAAAGGGTAGAAAATGGATGGATGGATGTTATGATTCTGAATTGTGTTCTTGGTTCAATGTTTGTAACAGAGTAATAGATGTGGTAGTTTTCTTGAGAGTATTTCATTTTCATTGTATTTATTATTTCAGGTTCATACAGGATTCAGTTTTTTGCCTTAAATACATTTTCTCTTCACCCCTATTACTGTATTCATCATTTTGATTTAAAATGATGTATAACATGCCATAGTACCCCACATTAACTTCTTACTATCGAGAATTGCAAGTTTTTAAAATCATTTAAAGTACCCATCATTTGTTCTTTTGTAAAGCATCCTTGATTGTCCAAAAAGCGGTAAATAAGTATGATGTATTATAATTGTTTTTATTATTATTATTGTTACCCCCTGTTTGCGTACCCCCGGTTGTGAAGCACTGGATTAGAGAAAAGACAACAAAACACTGTGCCTGTGTAGAAATGCACATAAATAGGTTAAATCCTACATCTTTTTTCCTACAGGTACCTCTGCTAATCCCCTGCATTATGATTTTGTTATTCTCTTTTGGAAAATAAGAGGATAATATCACCGGATATGATCCTTGAGCCAGTTATTGTTCTCAATTGTTTTGGCGAAACAACAGAAAAACACCTTTGTTTTTTTGGCACATTGTACTTTGTTTGAACCTACAAACAAAAAACATTCACGGCTAAAAATAGAGCTTTGTTAGCAAAACAGAGTGCAATTAGGAGGGCGATTAGCTGTCAGGGCCGATGTGTGTAAATCACTCATTATCAGTGATGACCTTGGTCTGAGGCAGGTGCCCATCACTCCTCGCCGCCTCGTTAGTGTTTCTGAATATGTTTGTTAATTAAACTAGGATAATGGATCATATGACTTTGAGACTAAAACATAACTGAGATTTACAGAGGGGAGTTTGTGTATACATGCTTATTTCAATGGATGTTGTGTTGTACTACGTAGGGATTTTAATTCAAGATGATTTTGATAATTGATTATTTGGCCAATCCGTCTTTAGATGAGTTTGTTGTTTAGATCCTGAAAGGTCGGTGAATAATTCCCATATTCCGCAACTT